TGGTAACTGCAGCGGAGGCCAGCCATGTGATCCTGCCTGCTACAAATAACTTTAAATATCTCTTTGTCTTTGAATCGCTTTCTTGTGGTTTAAATTGTAGTGAGAGTATCTCATTGGTTTGTCCTAGATTATGTATGTACACACAGATAGAAAAGAAGTTTAGGTGCTATATAGCCAAAAGCCAAAACCAAAACAGAGCACAACACCTAGTCCATGTCTCCTACCAACCTTTGGTTGCCCAATGCCAGTATGCATCCTCTTTATACTTGCATTTTCAAATATTTTCTTCTAATATAAATCAATAGTTGCCCATATAACTAAAAAAAGTACCACTCTCCTTATCCCTACGGAACCTTCTTAAGGTCTTTTATTGCATTTTGTTCCATTTGCAGGATCTCTGCATAATGGTCATTTATCCTCTTGCTTATTTTGTGATCCTGTTCTGAGATGGAATACACGTCAGTTACTAAACCCAAATACTTTGCAGAAGCTGAGAGCATGTGGCAACTGTAATGGGATGTGAATGTTTCCATAGTTTTTTTTTTTTTTTTGGTGAGAAAATCAAAGGTACTGCTAACACCATTGTAGTCTATTCCTCCTCAGCACCCACAAGAGGCATCCATAGGAAGGAACTCGATTAAGGGAGCAAATTTTAAAGGTGGAACTGGAAAGGCAAAGAGGATGGTGAGGCCATCCAGAAACTAGCAACAGCCAAACAGTTAGAAGCAGCTGCTACCACTAAGGTTAAAAAGACAAAAAAGAAGATGCACCATTATAAAAGCACAAGAGTCTGTAATGGGTTATTTTACCATTATAAGGCCAACAATTTTTGAGTGGAAGGTTTCATAACACCAGTATCTATCTTTGCCTTCTTTCTTTCATCGTGAAGTAAGTCTGTAGGTTAGAAGTACTATTGTGCAGGCCACCACCATGATTTATACTGTGTTGTCTATGTCCATCAGTGGAAATGATGGAGGAAGCATGACCAGTAGGGCAAGTGAATCCAAATCCAGAATCAGTAGCTGGCGCAGTAAGAACGCATTACTGCCACCATCACTGCCACTGGTGGCCAAATAGTTCCCTTCAAGCCTGGCACCACATTAGGGGCCTGGATCATTTGCCGCCATCAGGAAATTAAGATTCAAGTGTGCCAGCTCTTGCTGAGGGAGAGGCCACGTGGAGGCCTTACTGGCCTCAGCTTCTCAAATCATAGCCACCTCCGCCAGCTGCCAGACAGCATTGTAAAATCTTCTAACGGTTCATATTTCTCTCACCAAAAAATGTGTGCAATCTTTTTCTTGGATTTGTTCCGACAACAGAAGTCATTCTTCCTTTTTAGTTTTTGGTAATCTGATGAGGGTAATTTATCAAGATACTACTTTCATTTCCCTGATTACTAGTGAGTTTGAGCAACTTTTACTTGTTGACCATCTATACACTCTTCAGTGAAATGTCTGTTCATATCCTTACAAATATTTCTTTTGAGTTTATTTTGACAATACTCAAGAGCTCCTTGCATATTATATAAATCTTTTGTCTGTCACATCACAAATAGTTTCTCCAAACATGTTGTTTTTCTATTGACTTTAGATGTGATGTCCTCCTTTGCAATTCAAAGTTTTAAAACTATTATTGAAATATTTTCTTTTATAGCTCCGGAAGTTTCTGTTTTGGTTAAGAACATGTCCCTCATTGACACACTGTGTATGTAGTTTTACAAGTTTTGTTTTTGAAATGTCTATCGATTTATATTTTCTGTCTGTAGTAATTCTGGATTTTACTTTGGTACATATTGTGAGAGAGGTCCAACTGTATTTTTTAACTTTTGGAGAGTAAATGATGCCACCTCTATTTATTACTTAAAACATTCTCTCACAATTGAATAAAGCAGGAATTTTGTCATCTATTCATTCTCATGTACTGGGAGCTCTTACTAGATTTACTCTTTGTCCTACTGATCTGTTTGTATCTTACTGTGTCAGTGCCACAGAGGTAAAGATGAAAGTGGACTAGTGTGTGTTCTGATATCTGATCAGGCAAGTTCCCCTTCACATTTCTTCTTTTAAAATATTTTAACTAAATATTTATGGGTTGCTATTATGCATATTATTCCATATCAGTTCAAAACCTTTGAAATTTTATGGAATTATTTATCTATTATATTTGATAAAATTGATATTTTACAGTGTTTTTTTTCTCATCTGGAAATATGGCATTTTTTCTAAGCCATTCACTTATAATTTAATCTTCATTCATGTTTTATAACTTTCTACATAGAAATATTAAACTTTTATCATGAAATTGATTCCAAGTTTTTTCTTGAGGATTTTTAAAATCACAATTGTGTGTGGAAATATTTCTTATTTCTATTTCTGGATGGGTCCTGAAGTGTAACAAGATGTTAAAATAGAAGTTCCACTTGAAGCACAAAGAAAATAGAAATGACACGTCAAAGCAAGGTGACCATGACTTACAAAGCAGAAAGCTGGAAATCAGCCAGGGACT